TTTTGGCTCTGTTAGCAATGAGCGCGTTTCCTTCTCTTTTTGCATGATAGGAATTTCTTTGAACACAATTAGTATATTACTGTTTCGTAAGTTCTCCAGTTTCCACTACAATAAGCGAAGAGCCTAAACAGTATAAAGCCTGTCATAAGAAGTTCAGAATGAAATGAAACCAGTTACCTGTTACGTCGCATATTAAGTTTTCGATGATTAAACACCATACTGCTTTACAGTTGTAACCGGTGAAACCTTTGGATCTTGTCATATAATATTTCCCACTTTTTATTTTCTTTTTCTCTTCGTTCACCAAGACAGTCACAGTAAAAGGCAAAATTTTTCTTATGATTAGTGCTAGACTTCGTATGCCAAAATTTGTGGAATGGCGATGAGGAAGGTTTTCATTGTTTAAGCATTGTTACCATTCGGTTATCAATCTTCAAGCAACCAGCTATACAGTAGCAAATTACGGAAATTTTGTTTATTTTGCAAAGATCTCTCAACATTCTCACAACCACTTCACTTCAACTCACGGAATGCGTTAGACCGTTTTACTTTCTCTGCTAACTATAAAGATTTTTAGACTCACTAAAAAATCTAATATTTCACAGGATGTAAATAGCGATATACCGTAAGAAGTGCCCTACTGATAGATCTGAACGAGTTTTGATTTCGTTGCTGTTGTCAAGTCTTCAACAGCAGGCAAAATTCCAAGGAATTTGACGTAATGCTAGAGGAATGAGCTGTGGATATCCGTAAGCATCTTTATAGTTGAGGGTTTTTTATGACGGTAGAGATTGTGTTTTCTGCACAGAGGGTTTAGCTGATTCACTCGAGTTGTACGAGATACTTTATGGCTAAGCGGCGACCAACTGGGACTTTGGATTCTTTCCTAATTTCCAAAAAAAGTAAGAAACAAATGACTGCTTTGAATTTTTTTGTAGGTTTCTTCTAGTTGGATTGTAACTGGAATTTTGAGTAAAGTAATTGGCAGTTTCTTGTTAATTGCTTCGCTAACGAGGTGTTAGAGTACTAACCTACTGTTAACATATTTCTTACACAAATATGATTCAGCTAAAATGGATGAAGATGAAAATGCTGAGTGGAAGCATGGCAAATGGAGAAGGATTGGGAAGGACATGCTAATTTTTACGCCAGATAATATCGAACATCGAGAGAAAATTGCCGGAGCAGATTTGGGTGGGTAAATTTGTTGAAATTAACAGTGTTGATGGCCAGGCTTGCGGTGTTAACTCGGAGACGTGTTTTTTCAGATGGTACTCTAATTGCCACAAAATCTGGTAAAACTTTTCCTCAAAACGAGTTCGACTGGAAGTTATCTTATCCGGTTATTCCACAAATTCTTGAACAGTATCATTCAGACGGATTCAAAGTAGTAGTTTTTACTAACCAAAAAGGTATACAGGTTAGTTTCAGTAAGTTATTTTATACTTCACTATTTTCATGGAAAGTTCCTGTTGCAGCTCTTATTTCTTGTTTAATATTTAATGTCTTTTAACTAGTGAAATATATATTTATAATACAGTAAGACGGATTTTTACTAGGTTTTTTCGTTTAAGGATGAAACAGAAAAAATATGTGTACTTTTAGAATGGAAGGGTTGATGCGGAAAGCTTCAAGCGTAAAATCTCCAGGATTATTGCTGGGTTTAATTTTCCAGTCCAGGTAATCCAAACTATTGTATTTCAGCCTCTATGGGTTTTTTAATGTATGAACAGTACAATTTTTGAATGGTATGTTTCACTCGTGATACACTTTACAAGGCATCAAGTCTTTCAAGGTTTTTATTTCTTTGGGGACTGTAATGTACAGAAAGCCCTGCACGGGGATGTGGGACTACTTGGAAAGCACTGAAAATGGTGATATTAAAATCGATCGTTCACAATCAGTTTATGTTGGAGACGCTGCTGGAAGAGTTGCTACTAAGGTTGTATTGTGTTTTATTTTTGTGGACTGTTGTATAGTGACATCTGTTAGCATACTTACGATTTTTTGTAGGATAAAAAGAAAGATTTTTCCGCAGCGGATCGCTTGTTTGCATTAAATCTTGGTGTTCCTTTCTTTACACCCGAACAATTTTTCCTAAAAAAGCAGATTGAGGAGCATTATATTTTGCCTGCTTTCAATCCTGCAGTTTTTATGGAGACAAAGAAAGAACGATTTGAACCAGGTAGAGTTTATTCTTCTGTATGTATTTATTAATTGGTCGACTGTAAATTTTGGAGTCTCGTTTACTGCTGTTTTTGGTGCTGTTGTTATCCTGTTTAAGTTACTGACTAAAGTACCCGGTTTAGCTGACACTCCTATTCCGGGTCCGAAACAGGAAGTTATTGTTTTCGTCGGCCTTCCCGGGTGTGGAAAAACTAAGCTTGCAAATGAGTTGGCAGAAAAGCACGATTATGCAACTGTAAATCGTGATTCGATGAAAACTTGGCAGAAGTGCGTTGAGGCAACTAAAGTTTATTTGAAGAGAGGAAAAAGCGTCATAGTAGATAATACTAATTGTGATATGATCTCGAGGTACGTCTTTTTTTAGTTATTTACTTTTTTGTTGTATAGTGGGAGTGCTTCTACTTGTTGGAAAGACTATTATTATTTTTAATGTTGAAGTTTGTTGCAGATAGTAACAATAGCTTTTAGGAAACGTTATATAGATTTATCAAAATCGTTTGGAGTAGACTGCCGTTGTTTTTACTTTGTTTGCGATATAGCACAAGCTGTACATAATTGTAAGTTTCGAATTCTCGTTGGCACTGATCGTGTACATGAAGAAGTTGGAATTATGGTATTACGGACAATGAAATCTAAAAGCCAGGTTTTTTTCTCATTTGATACTCTAGTTCAAAAACTTTTCTTGAACAGTTTGCTGCTTTGAGCTGCTAGAGTTTATAACAGTAAAGTTTTATTTCTTTATTTGTGATTTTTGATTTATATTGAATGTATTTAACTCGTCATCCACTTTTGACTGCTCTAACTGGACAAGCTCAAATATTTTGGTCTTATATACGCTCAGTATTTTTCGTTTTCAAGCTTGATTTTTAAATCTTCAGGAACCGAGCTTGGAGGAGGGATTCTCGTCTATTGTCAAGGTTAATTTTGTACCTTCTTTTGACAGTGATGCACATCGCAATTTGTATAGTTTATACCTTAGTGATACGTAACTCGAATGCTTTTTTGCAGCAGTACATGCACATCAAAACTTGACTTTTTAAATCTCGTTCACCAGCTATATGGTTCCACTCTACAAATTCCTCTTTGTTTTTGTAGAAAATTTCAGCTTCAGGAAGTTGCTTTAGTTTCATGAATGGTGTTTCATGTATTTTTTTTAATTTTTAGATGGATAGAAGTCCTGACTTTTCTAAAATTTTATTTTGCATAGATTACCTTTTGGCTTGGTTGAATAGAAAAACACTGATTTAACAAAAATTTTTTCTGAGATAGGAATGCTCTTTATCATTCTTTTCTTATCACTGTTGAATTAGTTTGAGTAAAGTGGTAGGTAAATTTAGAAGCCATGAATATTTTGTCACGACATAATAATTTTTTTGCAGAATTGAACATTTTTCTAAAACCATTCAGACTGTATTTCTAATCTTCTTTTGTTTCATAGTATCTGATAAAGTTTTGAGGAATGGTAGGGATTTCTGCACTTCTGTTGTTTAGGGCCGATGGGTAGCTTTTTACAGTTAGAAATCCTATCGCGCAATTACACAATACTTGGTTCTTTACTGCTCCTTAGTTGTTTTTGACTAGGTTTTCCAGAAATGTGTTGAAAAGCTTAGTTTGGGTTTTATAAGTAATATCATATTCCATTCTGAATATCTGCTATTGTCTTACTGTTTCGTTTTTAAAACGATGTTCTAAAACTTATTCTTTTTTGTTATTTATTGTAATTTTTGGAACTGGTGTTTCTAACCTCACGTAAAAACAGTGATAAAGTGTCATGAAAGTACAGTAAGATAAATTGATTTCAAGCGCCAAAATTGATGTTTCTGAAAATCTTTAAACAGAAGTTACTGTCATTCCTTGTCTGAAATAAAAACATTAATTCTCTACATTGTGATTACAGATACGGCGTTGCACGAAAGTAACCACAAATCTGAATTAAATGGCTGTTAACGTAAACGTTTGGTGTGCATTATTTGACGCCACCTTCTAGTTGTGTCTTTCTTAATCTCTAACATGGCATATTAGGTTACGTGTTCTGATCCATTTACACTCAAAGTACATTGAGCGGTTGTTGGTGGCTGCTATAGCTTTCAAAGTAATCAGGATTACGAAGTACTGGCTGAGGGAAAAGAACTGCTAAACACTCAGAGAACTCTTGGAAAAACTAGCTTTCATTTAAAGTTAAAGTCGTTCATTGTAATGCTCGGTAAAAATTTTGGGTTTCAAGTTACGTGTTTACAGATAATCTCATTTTATATTTTAAATGGTTTGCTACTGCAACTAAATTAGAATTCCTCTTTAACCGCCAAGAAAGGATGTATATTATAATTTGGGACTTATCTTGCTATTTTTGAACTCAGTGTATGAAAGTTTGAATTTGCTCATTGACCATTACAACAGCACTGTAATGTAATTAGTGATGCAATTCCGCTGTGAACCAGTTCTTTTAATTTTAAATATGGGTTTTGTTTCTTTTAAAATCAGGCAGAAGAACTATATTGGAGTTGAGAAACGATATACGCGTCGTGTATAAAGCAGTCAGCTGGTTGCCAGTATCGCGGGGCTCTCGTGCATTTTTTAAATGATAATGCTGACGATATTCTCTGAGCAAACATAAATTTATGTGAATTTACTCTGATGAAGCTTAGTTATATATGTAGAATGTGATACATATAGAACGTGATATTTTAAATGAGGTTGGTCTTGAAATTGCTTGGCGTAGCTAGGTTCCTACAAGTTCTAAGCGACTCGTAGTGGAAGCATCTCTGACTGGGAGAGAAAATTCACAAGAAAAAATATGAACCCATAAGAATTTAAAAAAAAAAAAGCTTAACCTTTATGAGTAAAAAATGACGCTAGGGAGCAAAAAAACTATCTCTTTGAATTAAAAAGTCAATTTTTTTTTGCTTTATGCTTCGGGCTTCCTTCAACAACCTAATCGACTTTTGTCTACTAACCTTCCCCTTCGCTGTCGTCATGTCAAACGCTGCTTTTTTTTAAACTTGACAGAAAAAGAGTTTACCAGTGTATAAATACGTCCTGAAACTATGGGCGATGTTTTTAAAATGGTTCAGTGGCAACTGTAATGGAAGAGCAGTTCTATAAACATAACTTAAGTATCACAGTCTTGCCTGCTTTCTGCTTAACTCGATAAATTAATTTTTTGTATTAAAGCGTGCTCTTTGCTAAATGGGAAAAAATCGTTATCACTCGCCAAGTGAAGTACTTGACCAGACATAAGTTTAACCTGCAAAGATTAAAAACGCATTTTTTAAAAAGTTCCGTTTGTTTGACACTATTCCCTCACAATGGTGTTTTCTTTGACAGGAATTACGTTCCGATAAGTCTGTGAAATTGCCAACTGTTTTTAGCTTTTGTGTTAGAACTGAATCCACGTTGTCAGCCAAGTGCCCTCCTGTTATAGTACCGCTGATAACGCTTATGTCATTAACTTTCCCCATAAAAATCGCATAAAAATGCTTTTCTAATCTTTTTTTCAAGTTTTAGTTGTGTAGCCTTCAAGTCAACCAAGATATCTTGAAGTTTAATGCTTGCTTTTTCAAATGCGCTTTAGAAATCGCTAAGCAAATTCAGGGATTGGTATCAGTAAATGAAGCTAGAGAATCCTGTTTTGTTGACTGTTTACTTTTTAAAACAACAAACTGGAGGAAGTGAACTGTGTCATCGGTCAACATCTGCACAAAAAATGTTAAAAGTGAAGTGAAGCTAATTGGTTTTAAGCCGAAGGTTTAGCGCTTTCGATCATGCTTAATACTTCACGTTTCAGGTCCGGTTCTGCAAAACTGGAATTAGCAGCGTTCCAAGCCTGAAACAAAAAAGACTGATGTATTACAGGACGTGTATAAAAAAACTGGTGCTCATCGTTTTGCTCAAATGGTTTAACACCATTGTTGCTCAAAAAGCCCAAAAAAAGCGAGTCTCAGTTCAATTAGGCCGACGTTTTGAAGGATTGGCAACTAATAGTGGAATTTTATTTACAGATTTCCACAGCTGCATCTTCGTTAGTCCTATATCATTCTTCGCTAGTTGATATTCGGTCATCAGGTTGTTTTCAAAACATGTAGGATCGTCAGTATTGATAGAGTAATTAATATCGTCTGCAGCCATCCTTCAAAAAAACTTTAGAAGTGTCTTGCTATGGTAGCTTATTCATTTATTGCTTCAACAGCTGCTGATGAATGCTTTTATTGCAACTATCTGATAAAAGCTACCCGAATTATCTATAGTAACTAAAAATTGACACCTACTTCTTGAGAGGATGCTGAGTCCAATTAACTGGTACAGATCCTGTCATGAGAGACGAATATGGACAAACTTCAAAATGTATACGTTGTTCTACTGCAATTTTCTGATAAGCAGTATCATTTCTCATTAGGCGATACCCGTGCCCAATACGTTCCGCCTTCATTAAATCGACTGCCTAAATAAGCAACAGATGAAGCGTTCTTTAAGGAGTATTTCTTAATATATGATGAAGCAGAGACTGAGACGACTCACACGAATAACTTCTTTAGCCTCACCAGCTTCACCAGCATGAACCGTACGATGAACGCCAAATTTTTCTGCAGCCTGAAATACTTGTGAACTGAAAGAATAGATGTTTAAATGGTTATTATTAGTGAGGTTTAACGGAAAGTACGAGGTCATTGTTAAGCATTACTGCACTGAATTAGTTTTCTTCCGTTTATTCTGTTATTTTAATGCAATAAAAATTCAAATCTTATTACTATCTAGTTTCTACAGAAAAAAACAATTCTACGACCTGAAACACTTCCAAAACATCGTCGCCATACTGTTCATCCGCTCCACTGGACCAACCGGCAATATCTATTCCAACCACTCCTTGATTCTTCATTTCTTTCGCTGAAGAGCTTAACTTCAGTTCACAGTACTAGATAATATTGAATAAATCCAAGTTTTGATTTTCAAAGATTTTTGAATTATCATGATGAAACAAGAGTTAATGGGATGTATTTGCTGCAAAACTCGAACCAATTTCAAGTACTTCTTTGTTCCAGTCAGGAAATCCACAAATGCAGCACAGAATTGAACGAGCCCTGACTTTGAAATCCTCCTCACCACGATTAAAGCCTCGTACTACAGCCTCAACGACAGCTTTTGGAGAAAGCTGAAATATTTATGGGAAAAATAAATAATAGAGGTTGCTCAAGTCATTTTTTCTGAATTTTTAAAATTTTGATTAAAAAAAGATTTACAGGCCCTTTGCCGTTGTAAACATGGCCATAAATTGTGGCAACAGAATTGTTCACAGTGTTGCATAGCAAGTGTGGGGAATATCGAGCCTCGAAATAAACCACACCACTTTTTGCTTGATCTTCACACATTTCATACGCAATCCGTTCAATAGCGTCTTTGTCTCCCCTGCAAAACAAATCACCATGTATTAAACCGTATTAAAAAACTGTATTAAACCGCAAGATAATCAAGGAAGAAGGAAATGACAGAAAATAAGATATGAAAGGCAGTGAAGTGATGGAAGAGCAAAGAAAAAAAAAATTATTGAAATTCCATCGGAAAGAGAATATGGGATTTTTGCGTTATTATCTTCGCAGACGATGAAATATGAAGTTAGAAGAAAGCAAATGAGCACTTACGCTAAGACTGGCATATATAGATCGAAAGCTGCCAGAACTTTGGAAAGATTTGCAGGTTCGTCAGATAGCAGTAACTCCTTGAGCTCTTCAACGGTCTTTGCGTTCTTAATTGGCATATTCTTTTCACTAAAAGATTTTTTTATTCTCATGTAGTCAAATGCGAAAACAATACTCATTTAAAAGACGAAACCTTACAACAAAAACCAAAAAGGTAAGAATGAAAATGAAAATTTTAAAAGTTGTTACCGTGATAAATCAAGAAGAGTGCTATACCTAACCGACCCATCCAAATGGACGTGTAATTCAACCTGCAAGTAACTACAGTAACCCAAACATCCAATACCTTTTCAGAAGGATAGAAACACATGAAAAATAACAGCTGGAAAAGAAAAGCACGCCTAAACTGTTCTACCGTCGTCTCTTTAACCCACATATCTTTCTTTCCTAATAAAAGAAGAAGAAAAAATTCCAAAGTTTATTGACCACGGTGACGAAAAAAGAATGCTTTTTCCTAATGAAACAGCAATTTACCCGGCAAAACACTGTCAGTGAAAGCTATTAAAAATCTGTCATCCAAAATCGCAAAGGAAAAAAATTGATTTTGCATAGAAGAGTCAACAAAACTACTTCCCAGTCAAAAACACCAATTACTTAACCCTTTTCAGCTGCTAGACTTTTGTATTGAGACGTCTCATTCTACCACTGAGTTGAACGATTGAATCTCATTCGACCATTATTCAAAACTCTTACTAAAATGGCGAAATTTACAAGCCACTGTCATCTACTGAAAGTTTGTTCAGAGTTGCTCACGAGGTACGTTTCTCTACAATTACCTAAGAATTAACTACTTATAATACAGTGTCTTCAGATAAATGGTAATCGTCAATCGCCAAATCCAGCTGCGTAGAAGCTGTAGAGTTGCAAAAAAAGACACATTGAAGAACTATGGCAATTTTTTTTAAAAACTGAACATGCTGTTTGAAAAATCAGCTTCCTAGTGCAGTATTGGGATTTTTTCCTTTTCATTCAGAATTATTTGGTAATACTGCTTGAGACAAAAGAATGTCTTAAAATGTACGAGTTTTCTAAAGATAGAAGCATAAGTCAAAGTAAATACTGATTGTGATTTCATTGTCAAAAGTTCCCAAACTTCAGCCACGGGCGGAGAAACGACGAATAAAACTGTAGGCAGCGAGTTTGTGACTGTCAATGAGAAAAGAAAAAGAGGAATTGGATACGTCAATAGGTACCTTAGGGAAACTTATTTCTTTTCGAAATTCTTCGGTTACTGGAGTTACTGAAATCCTTTGCGATCCCCTAAATTATGAATCGTTTGAGGGCAACGGAAAAAAAACATAATAACTCCTTTAAGTGGCAAAACAATGCCCTACTACTCATTTGCATGTCGTTTGGAGAAAAAATAAAAACGTAATGAGAAACACTGCTTGAAACTAGAGTAAACCACCATGAGAATCTCAACTGTCAACCGAAAAAAAAAACTGGTAGACTAATGCCTTAAGATACCGTAAAAGTATTCTTAAGCATCCAACGGGATACACAATGGACCATGTTCCTTAGGGTTTTGAAAATGACTGCTAAGCGTTCAAAGACATGCGACGATTCATGGAAGCAATTCACTTGATGTCTTACCGACAATTCTTCAACCGTTGTTTACATATTTGTAACTACTGTCAGTTTTCAGCTTCACATATCTAGAAATTAAACTCTATCGGAAAATGCTGCAGAACTCTTTGCGGGCATTTAAGCAGAATTGCTTACCTTATACCTACTGCAAAGAACAAAAAAGTATAATAAAGAAAATGTTAGGAATGGAAATAAAGAGAGACATTGAAAAACATTTTTTTCTAGTAATATCTATTTTTTATTTGTTTCCTCCTCCCTTTTCCTTTTCACTAAGGAAACATGTAAGTTGACTTTCTAGTCAAACAGCTTACTCTACTATCTGTATTCGATACATATTAAAAACAATCCCTTTTGTGACGCCGCCTCTTGTATTCCAGTTTTAGAACTACAGCAATGTAAATTTATGCTGGCGACAAGCTAGAAGCAAGAATAATTTAAGTTTTTTACAGCAAGCCCAATATAAGCGGAGTACCTATAAGCTTTATAAGCCTTATAAGCTCTTACTGTTTTCTGATTGTACTCTACACACTACAAATACCAAAAAACCACAATTAATTTAAAAAAATGTAACACTCCAAATACCAGACGATAGTGATTGAGCAACCAGGTGTTCTCAAATTCCCGCTTCTTTGCATAGTCTTATAGCAGCACGACTTTTTTCCTTATCCTGTACAAAAAACACCATTTGAACGGCACGTACTTAGTTCCTTTTCTAATCAAATGCGCTGTTCTTTTTTGAAAGCTAACTTTAAAATCAAAAAAATACTACTAATAAAACTGGTCATTAGACAGTCAATTGGAAAGCGAAAAAGAAAGATTTCTCCAAATGACAGTAAACAATTTAGTGGACTTAGTCAAGCCAGAAATTCCTCACAACAGAAAATATACAGAAAAACTGAAATACGCATTTACCGACTTCGTAAATCTTAGATCTCATACAAAAGTAAATTATTAGAACGTAAATTATGTCAGGAATTGGCAAAAAAGTGTGAACTCGATTAATCTATCACATTAAACTACGGATAAAGACTAGACACAACAGACGAAGTTTGACAAGAATTAACTAATTCTTTCAAAATTTTGCACTACTGAATATTGACTGCTGTTGATCACTTAACCTGAATTGTTTTTTAGCCTATAAATATCCTGTGTCTTTGTTTGCTAAGCTTTAATTGATATGAACACTCCAAAATCGATCAAAAACCTCATCCCTTAAAACTAAACAATTTTTTCATTTTTTTTCATAGAAAAATTAAAGTAATTAAAAATAGACCTTTTCATTACTTCTGAACTGACGAACTAACAGCAAAATTGTATTAGGTAATGATAAGAAGTACACAAAATGAACAATTTATACTGCTCGTTACCTGCTAACAAATCTATTTTTAATGCTGATACTACAGCAAAAACAGAAGTATTCTCTACAGAAACCTAAAGTCGTTGGAAGACTTCTATGAACAAGTTCAAAACAAAGTATCTCGACAGACCTGCTTGCCTTTCTTGAAAAAAAAATTATCAAAGAAAACAGCAATTTTTATAGAATGAGAGTAATCAAATTCTATCATAATTTTTTAAAAAGCTGTTTCCTTCTGAACTGCAGAAAAATTGTGCGATTCTATGCTTCAGCCTCAGTTATTGATAATCCAAACTGTTCCTAAACTTTTAGACTCTTCCAGAACTGGCCCATAATTAGGCAAATAATAGTATTCATCACTGTCTACACAATTATAGCTCGAATTAACAAAACTGTGACTTTTCCTCAATAATAAAAAAGAAATCTAGAAGAAGAGTAATAATGAATTAGCGGTAGTATTAGCATCATAAACTAAGAAACTAATTCATTGTTTAGCTGACTCTGCTGCCTATCAAAAAGCGTAGTTTGATCAAATTCAGCGGCATACTAAAACAAAATTCGACTGTTGGCCCAGTGTTCTCTGCTTTCGCCAAGATCGATAATTCAATTGCCAATGCCATAGTATTTGCTTCGCTCAGCTTAATAACTTGAAAAGTTATAACAGAAGAAAGAGAAAGAAATAAGCTTTTTTTTTTTAAAAGCTTCTTCTGTCTATCGATAGTTTTAGAAAGAGCAATCGACTGCGTTCGCCACGGCAATCAACATTGTTATCGGCAGCAAATCACTCTTATATTATTATAACATTTACACGGAAACCAAATCCTCGGTTGCTGTTAACTGTATAAGAAAATCATTGATTAATACGAGACTCTTTCAAGCAGAAAAAATAGCATAGAAATTGTTTCTTGATGCCAGTGTTAAGCGGTGACAAACCATTGTAGTCATAGTAACATTCAAATCAGTGTTTAAAACCGATTCACCAAAAAAAAAAAATGTGAATTCAAATTAGTAAAATTGAAGATACCTCAGACGTTATTTGAAACCACAACAATAACTTCGGCAAGATTTTACTGGATAAGAAGTGCGATACGCAATTTATAATAAAATATTTAAGTAAAAAACGTAAATTTCTGGGCTTTTGGATATTTAGATGAATAAGTCGAGAAGTCATTTTTTCTGAACTATTGACTTGATCTTGACAGAGGCCAAAATCAATCAACTAAAATTACTCTCTAGAGCCAACAACTCATTTCAAGTCAATTTTTTTTATAACTGCGAGCAGAGAGAGTTTGGCTGGACATTGAATCCATTGAGAAAAATACTGATTCAGTTTTGTATGGAGAAAAAAAAATGTAAAACCTGTAATTTAAAAAAAAAAACAACTCTTAGATGAGAAATTTGAGCACTTAATAAGCGGAAAAATAAATAATAATAACTGAGGGTCAGTAACAAAATAGAACATTGGTAATAAATCAAAAAGCAGTTAAAGTGTATAACTAAAACTTACATTCTTATCTTGTGTCAGCTTTATCGATACCTCGAAAAACAACCAAAACAAAGGAAAAGTGGATGAAAACTGGACTAGGGCAGTTTCAGTGTATATTCGACCGACGAGAATCTTAATATGATTCACTCCTGGCAGTCCCAGTCAACAAAACTGTTTACATAAATACTGCGAATAATAGTCATATTCTCAACGATCTACGCAAAAACTGTCAATTCGTAAATAGACTTCTACAAGTTTTGGGAAAAATTTTTAATATTGTTCCATTTATCTTATACTACTTCTAGAGAAAAACCAAAAAAAA